TACTGGATCACTTTGGACCCTGAATCCAATGTGCCCTGTATTGAGAAGAGATATAAACTGAAGCTTTGAAAAGTTGACACCAGGCCCTGGCTGGTGTAGCTCAGTGGATTGAGTGTAGGCCTGTGAACCACGCGATTGCAGTTCGATTCCCAGTCAGGGCACATGCCTGGGTTGCAGGCCAGTTCCCAGCAGGGGACACACAAAAAGGCAACCATACATTGATGTTTCTCTCCCTCTCTCCTTCCCCCTTCCCCTCTAAAGATAAATAAATAAAATCTTTACAAAAAAAAAAAAAGAAAAGTTGACACCAAACACAGGAAGTGAAGCAATCCCTGCCCCTCAGACTAATAATCTATCGGTCTTAAAATGACTTTTAGTTTGGGGGAATGTATAATTTCCTTGAAATTGCTAGTCTTAGAAAAAGCCACAGTTATTTTTCCCGGGTTACTATGTTGTCTTCAGTTCTAAGTTTGATGTGAGAGCAAAGAACAGATTGTGTCCAGCCCCAGTTACATTTATAACTTCAAACAATTGTTCTCTTACAGACTTTAGCAAAAAAAAAAATTTATAGAGAAAAGACTTTTCAAGCCTTCTCCCCAGCTTCCCAATTACAGTTGACAATTTAAGCTGCAGCAAGTGTGTTCAAGCACAGTCTTTGGTAAAGTAGTTCATGTTTCATAATCAATTTTGGGGATTTGAACTATAGCAGAGAGAATTCATGATACCATTCCACAAAGTCTGTTAAACAGCTTACTCTTATCAGTGAACATATGAGGCTCAGGAGTATCAATTCCTCTATTAGGAACGCAAGATCACGAAAATAAACTATGAGCCAGGGAAACCCAACCTTCACCAAAATCCTGGCAGCCTTTTTTGCAGAAATGAAAAAGTTGATCTTAAAATTCATGAGGAATTGCATAGGACTCTGAATAGTCAAAATGATCTTGAAAAAGAAGGATAAAGCTGGAGGATTCATGTTTCCCAATTTTAAAAATCTACAGTAATTAAAACAGTGTGGTACTGACATAAGGGTAGGCATATGGACCAATAGAGTGGAATAGAGAACCCAGAAATAAACCCACACATCTATAGTCAATCGATGTTTGACAAGGACATGGAGATCACTCAATGGGAGAAGGAGAATTTCTTCGATACATGGTGCTGAGAAAACGGGATAGCCACATGCAAAAGGAAGTTGGATCCTAACCTCACACCATATACTAAAATGAACTCAAAATAGATCAAAGACCCAAGTGTAAGAGCCAAACTCTTAGAAGAAAACAAAAGGCTAAATATTCATGCTCTAAGTTTTGTTAGTGGTTGCTTAGAAACGACATCAAAGGCTTAAGCAACTAAAGGAAAAATAGGTAACCTGGACTTCATCAAAGTTTAAAACTTTCGTGCAGCAAAGGAAACTATTAAGAAAATAGAAAGACAGGCAACAGAATGGAAGAAAATGATTTTCAAATCTGATAAGGACCTAGTATGCATAATATATATTTAAAAAAACTCTTACAACTCAACATTCAAAAGACAATTCAGTCAAAATATGGGCCACAAACATGTGAAAAGATGGTCAGCATCATTGGTCATTAAGTAAATGCAATTTAGAATCACAATGCAATAGGTACCTCTTCACACGCATAAGAGCGGCTGTAGTTTTTTAAACCCCAAACATACAGAAAATAAGTGGTGGTAAGGATGCACAAAAATCAGAACTCTCATATTTTTGTTAGTGAAAGAGTAAACTGGTGTAGCCATTGTAGAAAAGTTCCGCAATTTTTTAAAAAGTTAAATATAGAATTACCATATGATGCAGCAATTCTACTTCTAGGTACATACCCAGAATAATTGAGGACAGGTATTCAAACAAATACTTGCACTCAAATGTTCATAGCAGCACTATTCACAGTTGCCAAAATACAGGAACCCCCCAGACGTCTAACAGTGGATGAAAGGATGAACAAAATGTGGTATATCCATAAAATGGAAGGTTTTTCAGCCATAAAAAGGAATAACCATTGGCAATGTAGAAGAACCTGAAAACATCATGCTAAGTAAAAGAAGGCAGACACAAAAGATCACATAGTGTGTGATTGCATTTATATGAAATATCCAGGAAGGTAAATCATAGGCACAATCAAGCATATCAGTCGTTGGCGGGGCTGGAGCAGGGGAATGGTAGTGACTGCTTCACGAGTTCGAGGTTCCATTTTGGGATGACTGAAAACGTTTTGGAACCAGGTAGAGGTGATAGTTTTACAACATTGTGAATGCCACTGAACTGTGTACTTCAAAATAGTTCACTTTATGTTAGATCAATTTCACCTCACTTTTTAAAAAATTGCATCATATGGTTTTTGTGATCTCATAAATAACAGTGGCTTTGCTGTCATAGTTACCTTGTGACTGTTGGAACCCAGGTGCTTTATAGCATTAGTACATTGGGAAAGGTCTTTCCACTGTGGGCAGGAAAACTTGAAGATGGATTATCCCAAGTGGGTTTCTTTTTAATATAACAGTTAAGGAATATGGTTTTGCTTTTTCACTTTTATTTGTAGAAGCTAGTAAAACTTCTATCTTGAATGAGCCCTAGGTTTTAAAATGTAACCTAGTCTGATATTGGTTGGTTTCTTTACTTTGAAAAAGCACATTTAAAATAACTTTATATTATTTAGAGATGGAGCAGCTTCTGGTTTTATAAAAATTAAGAGTAATTTTTAAAAAAGAATCCAGGATATACCTGTGGAGTTGCGGTAAGATTTTTCTGATGGTTTGCTGTTTTCACTGCTGGAGATTTTTGTGGCACTTTATCTAGAACAGTCACAAGTGCTTTTTATTGTCAGTGGAATTGATGTCAGGAATAAGAAATTTCTGTTTTAGATCAATCAAGCAGAGCTTATGCAAAAACTAAAAACCTTAGTTTCTTATTTTTATCTTACACTTGTTGTTTTTTGAAGGAGGGACTTTAGATTAGGTTCTGGCAAAAAGCCTGAGATTGCAAAGCGCTTCTTACTGAGAAAGGTAGAAATGCCTTGCCGGTGATAAGGAAGCTTGTCTTTTTGACTGAAGTGGATGCGTCTGCCCCACAGCCCTGCTTCTGCCCCTGTTCTCCGTGGACTTGTTTCTCCAGCAGATGTGTTCCTGCCAGTTGTCTTGCACACTCGCACTTGATTCCTGTTATGATCCAAAATATGCCACTCAGGCTAAGAGTTCACAGACATAGAGCAAACAGAGCTAACTGGTTTGTGGTAGATCGAACCCACAGCTTTTGGCATCATTAGCATCGTGTCCCAGTGAACAGAACTAGAGAGTGAAATAATCGGTGCCTTGTTGAGTCAGAGCTTTGTGATTTTACAGTTAGAATCTGGTAAGCACAGTAGACTATCTGGAATAAATCGAATAAGCTGAAGTAGTGGGTGAATGTGTGTATTCAGCTTAAAATAATTATTGCTTCTGACTTCCATAAAATTAAGATTTCCTTTTTGTGATGTGCACTGGATAATTTTTTTAAATAAGAAAAGCTTAGTCTTTAAGTTATGGAGAATTAAAAGCTAAGTTTCTCGCCCTGGCTGGTGTGGCTCAGTGGTTGAGTACTGGTCTGTGAACCAAAGGGTCACCGGTTTGATTCTCAGTCAGGGCACATGCCTGGGTTTCGGGCCGGGTCCTCAGTAGGGGGCACATGAGAGGCAACCAGACATTGATGTTTCTCTCCCTCTCTTTCTCTCTCCCTTCCCCTCTCTAAAAAATAAATTAAAAAATTTTTTTGAAAAGTTAAGTTTTTCAATAAAGTGTTAATCCAAAAAGAGCTAATTTAACCAGACACTGAACTACTATACCACGACAGCTGTAGAAGGAAGTGAACTAGGTGGATGAGACTCACGCGAGATTACATTTGCCCAGGAACCTCTGCCTATGAACAGTGATTAGTGCACTTCTTGCCCAATTTACTTAATCTTTCTGTGCTGTAGTTTCCCCATTGGGCAACTGAATACTAGAATCCACCTCACAGAGTTGTTATAAAGATGGAATTAGTTGATGTGGATAAAGCTCTTAGAACAGTGCCTGACCCAGAGTTAGACTGGCTCAGTGCACGTTAAAGACATAAGAACGATGGTGAAAGATAAGCAGGAGCTCCTTTGCTGAGGGGTGCCTTTTGAGGGGCAGACTTGTTTACATTCACGGATACCCGTAGTCCCAGCCCTCTAGTGCAAGATGCACGGTTCCGATGAGGTTCCGAGACCCTCTGGCATAGCTCTCTTTAGGGCTGTTTTACTGCTAATGGACATCTCATCCAACAAAATGCTTTGGGAAGGAAGGAATTTTAAGATCGCATGAAGCATCTCTGGTGGTTTGTTGAATACATAGTGATTGTCTAACTTTTTCACCAAAAGTTACTGTGCGCTCATCATTGGCACTGGGCAGAATGGGATGACACTGGGGTACTTGGTCAGAAACAAAGATGAACATAACCTAGTTTGGGGGCTGGAACTCACAGCTTAGACCATTTCGGTACCTCTAGATTCCATGGTAGGAAAACCCCAGGGCTCTGAACAGAAGAGCGTCAGAAAATAGTGCATCCTTGATGGTGTGCGTCCTTGGAGCTGTAAGGCCACGGGCCAGTTAATTTTTATCATTTCTGCTAAGCTACCTCAAACTTAGCTAGGAGGGAGAAATGGAAATTCATTGGTAAAAGAAGGTTAAAATTACAACTTTTAATGAATCATCTTGTTCTGATCTATTATCAGAGACAATTGAGTTTGCCTTTCTTCCATTTATATTTTTCATTTTCTACTAGCATTTTAAGTAGTTTAAAATGGCTAGTTTGTATTTTAATGACCTCTTTCGACTCTCCCCACCACAGTGGCTTTTCTATGCGTGTATATAGTTCTGGTGAAAATGAATTAGGAAAGCAGACTGATGCGATTGGATAACTCAGCTCTCCAGAATATACTTGATCTTTTTTCTCATGAAGTGATGATGTGCTGCTTCTTTTATAGGACTGAATTACAACTGCAGAAGCAACAACAAGTGAACCTTTAAAGATGTACACGGGCTGCATAAAGTAAAGAGACAAACTGGAGAAACTGATGAAGTAAGAAAAAAGTATGTTTCCCAGGTAAATAGTATGCTCCTGAATTTTAGCAAGTTTCCTGCTATAACAATTACCATAATTGTTGTAATTTACTCCTTGTATTGTTGTTAAACTGTTTTTAATTTTCTCCTTCAGTTTTTAATTGCTGAGCTCTTTGATCGCATGATTTTTTTTAAAGTTAATCTAAAAAATCTGTATTGAACATGGAATTTATGTTATTTCTTAGGTCATTTAGGGACCTGTTGTATCTTAGGTTGACCACTGTGTGTTATAAAAGCAGAGGTACGTGTTGTGTCTCTGTGATGTGCGGGTTTAGTCCAAGGTCAACTTTTTGTTTGAGTGAAGAACTTACACTTCCGCTTTATTGAATTACTGCCTTAAAAAACCAGAGCACTAGTCTGAGTTCTCAGTTTCCAAGCTACATTCTGCAAGATGGGTGGCACTGCTTTCAGAAACAGGAGACATTTTTCAGTGCCTTCACTTGATGGAATAGACGTGTCCTAGTAAAGTTTTATTATATTCACTTTAGTTGGGAACTCAGTTTATTCTGTTATTCAGCTATTTACAAAATTAGATCTTGGGGGTTTTGGTTGTGGTTGTCATCAACAACCACAACCAAACATTTTTTAAATAAAGGAAATCTACTGCCTTACTTTTCATTATAAAGTCAAGAGCCCCTTTCCAGGCTGCTGAGTAGAAATTTTGGGGAAAAAGCAGAGGAAATTAAGTCAGAGTCACCCGTGGCAGTAGTGCTGGAAGTTCCGTGCACACATTCTCACTTAGACATGGCAACATCGCTCCTTCTCCACAAGCCTGGGGCCACCCAGCCCAAGGGAAGCTGTAGCTTCTGGAACTTCCTGCCTCATGGTGGATTTCGGGAGGGTTTACTGTTGGACATATGGTGAATTCCAGCTAGCTCTTTCTTTAACTGAGTCATCAAGCTGAGTAAAAACTATTTAGTCCTCTTGTATATCAGTCCTCCAAATTAAAAACGGCATAAGACAAGTTTATTTGCAAGTGAACTTGCGTACACATTTTCTGATGCTCGTCATTACGTTGACTCCTGCCTCAGATCTCCTCCCAGACAGCCAGCCCGCCCTCCTCCTTCGTCAGGTTTCTGTGTGGGGCTGAAGTTGATGGGAAGGCCAAAGCCAGTTTTCTGTGATATCCGTGTCTTTAGCCAGTACCTGGCAACGTGGGGCTGCCTTGCCTGGCTCCAACTTACCTTACTTTTCCCATTCCACTCCTACCTGCCAGGTATGATGTTGTACTTATTCTACACATCATGCCTTTTCTGTTTTTCACCTTTAAGATCTTTTCATATTAACCTGTCACTCTTCAGGGCACATACCGTTTAACTCAGCAATTGCATTTCTAGGAATTTATCTCACATATGAGCTCACACAGGTATGCAGATAACTCTGTAGCTCCTCAGCCTCGTGCAATCTTCCTATCTCCCTGCACTTGGACAGAGACGGTTTCTGGTTTATAGGCCGTGTCTGCCTCCATAGGTAGCAGCTTCTGCCAGTGTCTTGTGGTCCTTCCAAAGTATTTTGGGTTTTCTTTTCAAAATAGCTAATTCCTTCCTTTTAAAAAAAGTTCTCTTGAGTTGTTTTTGTTGGTTGTTTCTCAAGATTATTTAGTTGTATGTTTATTATTTATTTATATATTTTAAAAGATTTTATTTATTTTTAGACAGGTGGGACGGGAGAGGGAAAGAGATGGAGAGAAATGTCAATGTGTGGTTGCCTCCCACGTGCCCTCCACCTCGGACCTGGCCTGCAACCCAGGCACGTGCCCTGACTGGGAACTGAACCAGCGCCTCCCTAGTTCACAGGCTGGCACTCAGTCCACTGAGACACACCAGCCAGGGCTATTTATTATTTTTTTGCCAATACTTAAATTTTTCTGTATTCTTTTTTCTTCCCCATAGGCTGTAGTTTTTTTATGTAGAGATTTTGGTACATTTTCTAACTCCTTGTATCTTGCAAGCTGAATAGTGTTGGATTTTCGTCTTTTATTTGGCTAACCTTGAAGATTCTATAACTTATGTGTGAATTTATCATCTTTAATTTATGGTTAATAGTACATTGGTTATGTTTTCTGTATACAATCTGTTTCTTAATTTTTATATTTCTTGTCTCTTTTCTGTTCTGTTATATGAAGTGTTTTCTTCCCTCCTTTTCAGCTTAAAAAATTTTAAAGGTGAACAAACTTTTGAATTCTCCTATTGCTAAAAATAACATTTGTTTCTATATCTATTTACTATCATTAAAGGAAAAATAGAACTTCCCTTTCCTTTCATACAAGGAAACTCAATTTCTCCGTTTTCACATCTCCTCTTCCTATTCAATATCTACTCTCATTACTATTTCCTTTTACCTTTTACATTGGTTCAGTGAGATGTGCTAATTCTTCTCAGCATCAGCCTGTTATTTGTAAGCATTTTGCTATTCTTGATTTAGTGAACAAGCACAGAGGCCTCACTCTGAGCTGGACTAACACTGAGCTCGGTGCTGCAACTACAAAGGTAAATGCAGTCTGTTCCTGCCTTCAGGCCCCCTTTCTGGTTGAGGAGGTGGCATGCATGCTGATCAACAGTAGCAAAAGGTGTGACGTGTCAGGTGACCTGGAGACACAGAGTGGGGGAAAGGGGGAGTGAAGTTTGTTGAGTCAGCAAAGGCATCCTGGGAGCTGAGTGCTACTGTACTTGTAGGGCTTTGTGAGATAATGGATAAGGCTGAAAGTACCAAAGTTCATCAAAGCCTCAAGCTACCAAGTGACTGGAAATGAGACTGGACAAAGGGATGTTGGGGCCAGGTGGTCAAGCATCTTGGATGCCTGGCCAACAAGTTTCAGTTTGTATCCTGTGGGCTGCACCACAAAGAATTTAAAGCAGGGTAGTAACATGCTTAACTTTGATTTTAGAGAGCAAATTCTGCCATGTGAAGCACTGCAGGGAGGAAGTCAGTCAAGGGGCTGGGGCAGTCATCTAGGCGAGGGGTGGTAGAACTTGAACGAAGTGGTAGCAACGGTGATGGAGAAGAGAAGATGAGGTGTTTTGAGGCAGTGTGAAAATTCTAGTGTTTGATTCAGGAGAGATTGGGAATGCAAGGGTGACTCAGAGGGTTTTCCGTTTGTTTTAGGGAAGTAATAAAAGATGGTGGAAATAACCAAATTACGGAGGGGGGTAAAGTATGTGAAGAGGGGGCAGAAACTGACTTGAAGAGAGAGAGAGAAGAGTTTATTTTATGACTTGGTGAATTTAAGAAACCCTCAAGAGATCTAGGAAAACATGTCTAGGAGCAGTTAGTAATAGGGCCAGAAACATGTGAGACGTGGGGGCTGGAAATAAAGGTGTGAGATGCACTTGCCCCAAGGAGGATGTCTAAGCCATGAGTAGATATAAAGTCCTCTGCTGACCCCAGGCAGAGCATGTAGACAGAAAGTAAAAGAACTCAGTAAAAGAGTTTTGCCAAGAACTCTTGGCAAAAATGAGTCTTTACGTGTGGGAAATAAAAACGTACTGAGCACTGGAATACATGTCCAGTATGGGGTGGTGAGAGCTTTTTCAAATGGCTTATTTTATCATCTCAGCGGTCCTGTGTATGGGTGTTATTACTATCCTCCTTTTAGCCAGGAAACTGAGACTCCAAGGTACGTAGCTAGTAAGTGGAATTGCACACCAGGCCTGGATGCATGTAAGTGCTAGGGGAAGAGGTGAGGCAGAAGCAGAACAGTGTGGTGGAGAAGAGATGACTTACTTACTACAAGGGGCGGTGGCCAGCAGTGGCCAGCAGCGGCCGCACACCCACAGGTCCAGGTGGATAAGGAGGAACTGAGCCAGTGTTTTTGGCAACTGGAGAACTGCTAGCGATCCCAGCATGCTCAGTGCCCACTCTGTGCCTACTCCGCTGGCACGGAAATTAGAGGAGCTGAGGGAGCGCGGGAAAAAGCTGCTGATTTGCAGCTCCTGGGACAGCTTGATGGCGGAGGGATGACAAGGGCACCGGTCTTGGTGTATGGGGCAGTGGCTTCATTTTGTTTATTTACGGAAGACAGCTTGAACTATTCCGATTTGCTCATCCTTTCTTTCTTAGATATAATATTATATTGTTTCTGGACTTCTGTTACTAAGAAAAAAAATCATAGTAAAAATCAGAGTAACTGCTGGACTCCTTTTCAGGTACTCTGCTTGTTTAACTTGTTTATTCGGAGTTGTTTTTTTTCCTCTTTTCTTACAGCACATTGTTTTCCTATGTTTCCAGGCTCTGTCTTAGTGACTTTCTTTGATTGCTCATTGTGTGAGAGACACTAGCCCCTCCAGGTTTCTCCTGTCAGGTTTTTCCTTGCTGGAAGTGGTTTTCTTCTGTCATATGAACCCTCTGTGCAGCTTCCTCCAGAACTCTTATTCACAAATTGTGTTTTCTCCCAATGATACAGTGCAAGAACTTGTTCTTGAACTCCTTGACAATAGGCGAGTGAGATGGTAAGAGCATGCGCTCTGGAACTGAGCTGCCTGGGTTCAAATCCGAGGTCTGCCAGCTACTAGCTGAGTGACCTTGGGAAAGTTGCTTAGCTTCTTTGTGCCTCAGTGTCTCATCTGTAAACGAGGTAATAATAATACCTATTAGCCAGGGTTGAGAAGAGGGTTAAATGAACTGCATGGGAAATGCTGAGAACGAACAGAGTCCAGTGCATGCGCTTCACCGCTGTTGGCTGTTGCCGTCCAGGGGGAAGATAGTAGGAGAGGTGACCTTTGCCAGAATGTTGTTTGGACCACACAGATAAGTGATACATTTACAGACCATTGGAGCTTTGCTTGATAAACTAGAAATGGACAAATCCTGGGAACCAGGTAGCATTTTTTAAGGCGTTTTTAAGTTCAGCAGTGAACAATCTTAGCCTTGGTCCCAATGCGGCGTCTGGCATTGCAGGTGTCCACTGTGTGACCTCGCCTTCCCCGTGGCAGCATTCCATTGACTTTATTAAACACAGGCCATAACATTTTTATTTCTACCTCA